CCCCTGGCTTTTCTAGGAGAGCAGCTCAATCAGTCTGCTGGAACTAAAGGCAAGCCAGTGCTAAGCAGAAGACTTGAAGAGACCCCACAAGAGCACTCACCTTGAGGGCTAGGTTCTCCACTTTCATGATAAGATCTTCCTGGCGCTTCCTCCTGTCCTGAGTCTCCTGGAGTTTACTTTTCAGGTTGTCAATCTGTTTCTGGATCCCCATGACTGGAAGAGAGAGCGAGCTCAGACCCAGAGCAGCAGCAGAGCTGGGCAGCGCAGCCTGCCTGGCACCCCAGTGATTCTCCAGCGCTCTGCCACCCACTCACCTATCTGGTTGGACCCCTCATTCTCCTGTTGCTGCCCATCGGACTCATTCAGCTTGTCCTGCAGCTGCCTCTCCAAGTCCTCCTCAGTGTCCATGATGTTCAGGTCTTCGTCGTCATGATGATCCCTCTCATCTTCATCTTCGCTGCTGCTGCTGATGTCATTAAATATCTCCCGCAGTTCATCATGTTCTAGGGGGGTGCAAAAGGGAAGAGGAAAAACACAGCTGATGACCTTCCAGCACCCTTTGCCTGCTAGGGACCATGCCAGTACAGGGTGCCTGTCTCAATGCCCTCTCTCCTTTGCTCTGGTTAGGGCTTACCCCAGAGAGAATGGGCCCAACTGATTACTTAGTGCTAGAAAGAAAACAACAGCCTTCCCCACTGCACCTGAGGAGCCGTGACCTTGCTTATGTCCCGACATCCCTGGAGAGGAGATGTCCAGGCTGGTGAGTGAACCATGGTTGTCTACTTCTTTTGTTTCATCTTCAGCAATGACTTCCCAGCCTGACAGCAGGAACAGATGAGTCAAGGGAAAAAGAGGAACATGAAAGATGCTGTACGACAAGAGAATGCAAAAAAACTGCAGGAGATCACTGCCCCTCCAACAAGTCTGGCCTTGCAGCTATGAACATCCAGGACAAATCACCCCAGCCCCCTTTTTTGATGACTTCTTCTCTGCTGTTACTTAAGTTCCTGCTCAGTACAATAGTACCGTCCGCAAGGATGGTCACCATGAATAAACAATGGGCTTTAAACAAGGCAAATATGAAGCTCCAAAACTTCAGTGCCTCTTGTGTGCTTATCTCCCAGTCTCTCACACCCACACAAAGCTGAACTTGTCTCTCCTTTCCACAATCCCCAGGTCACACATAGCATCCTGTCCCCCACTTGAGGTTTTTTTCTCCTAAAAGGATACGGACACTGACAGCTTCAGCATCTGTGCTCAGGAGACGCTTCACCTCTTTTTCCACATCAGGAGACTCAATATACTGGGACAGAGAGGGGAAAGAAACAGAGACACTGTTAAATGCCTCATGCTGGTGCTGGCCAACTCCAACCCTCCACCTCTGGACAGATCCCCATTTCAAGCCTTTCTTCCCTTATACTTTCTGCTCAGCCTTTGCTCATGCTCACCCTAAAATTAATTTATGCACCTCCAGAAAGCAATCCATCTTTTTTGTACAGAGCTCCTTGGTGGGTTGTATATTCTCACTTTTCTACTTATACTAATGAAATAAGACTTTCTGTGTGTACGCAGAAAGTCCTTGAGGTGCTGTTTCCTGATGGATGGTCAACTCAACTCCTTCTCATCTCGCTCAAAAGAAGGTTTCATTTTTCACTTTTAAATTAGCCAGGAATCTTAATGCAGTGACATCAAATCTCCCCTGTGGGCTCTAAGAATGTCTCAAGTAATTTGTTTCCCAAATGTCACGCAAAATAGCACTCCATCCTGTTCTCAGAAACTGCAAAGCAGAGAAGAACAAGTCTTCCCAGTCTCATGGTGCTGCATCTCCCCAACACCTTGCCTGGCTTGTGCATATGCACAGAGACAGTCTCTGAGCTCCATCTGTTGTCACTCCCCCAGCTGACATGACGGTTATTCTATTTGTAGAGTTGCTTATTGGGGAAGTGAACGCGCCATGCATAGAAAGAAAATTTCAGCTGGGAAAGCCGGAATGAC